TATATATATATTATATTTATGTATATATTACCATATATATATATATATGTATATATATATATATATATATTTACATGTGTATATTATATAAATATATTTAAATTATATACATAAAAAAAAGTATAAATATAAATATAAACATAAACATAGATATAAATAAAAAGATAAATAAAAATAAATAAAAATAATTAAAAAAATAATAATAATAAATAATAATAAATATATACCTGATGTTTATATCCTCTGAGTTTCAGAAACTCTGCGAGTAGATTGAGCATCTTAACCATTTGCGAGAAGATAAGAACACGATGACCCTTTTCTTTTAATCTTTTAAGCAATTTATCTAGAAGTCTGAGTTTAGCAGATCCATCAATTAATAAACGATTTCTTTGTTCAGGTGTATTGGGAGCTTGACATAAGAAAGGATGATTACAAACTTTTTTTAACTCCATGCAGATATTCTGAAGACTTGCTCTATTTGAGCCCCCTTTCCTGGCTAATAATTCATAGTTCTTTGTTAAAATAAGTTTATAAAAATATAACTGTAAAGGGGACATCTCTACTCGTAGAATACTCTCTACCTTCTTCGGCATGCTTCGTTCAACATCTTTCTTTACTCTCCGAAGTATATATCCATTAAGCTCTTGTTGAAGAGCAGCTAATTGTTTTGTTTTTATCTCTCCGACCTCTGAATGCCTCTCAACAAGATAATATCGATGACGAAACTCCTCAAAGCTTCTATGTATTGAAGGGTTTAAGAAGTGAAGCAGGTTCCACAGCTCTTCTAGATTATTATGAAGGGGTGTACCGGAGAGAAACAGTTTATGTTGAGCTGAAAACGCCGACAGCTCAATAAATCTTTTGCTATTTATATTCTTTAATTGATGAGCTTCATCAACAACAAGTAAACTCCACGGTACTTTCTTAAGAAAATCTGCATCTATACCGCTATTTAAGATTGAGGGTGTTGTTAAACAAACATCAAACTTATACACCTGAAGCTTTGCATGCAATCTTTGTAACTCGTAGTTCCTAATAACTGTTCGGCCAACAGCATTACCGTGAACAGCAACAACATTTGCTTCAGGCAGCCATCGCTCAAACTCTCTCAACCAGTTATCTAGAGTAGATTGAGGTACGATTATAAGAATAGGAGTCAGTACGCTCTCAACAAACAGAAGATGTCCGACAACCCCTATAGTTTGAACAGTCTTTCCTAGACCCATCTCATCTGCAAGCAGCACAGACACCCCGCGCTTTAATCGCGATAATATCCAGTTTATGCCTGTTAATTGATAATCTCGAAGCTCTTGACGTTCAGCGACCCCCTCCTCCCCATTACTATTACTATTACTATTATTACTGTTGCTGTTGTTGCTGCTGCTGGACGGGGTTGCTGTGCCGTTGTTGCTGCTGCTGATGGGTGGAAGGGACCCATCGGTGAGACCTGCAGCTGCAGCAGCAGCAGCAGCAGCAGCAGTTTCTCCTTCTCCTTCACCTTGCTGCTGCTGCTGCTGTTGCTGTTGCTGTTGTTGCTGTTCCTGTTGCTGCTGGTTTTGCTGTTCCACCTGTGCCTCCCCTCCTCCTCCCTGCTGCTGCTGCTGCTGCTGCTGCTGTTGCTGCTGCTGCTGTTGCTGATCTGTATCTTCTGCGCTTCCTTCAGGCTGCAGCAGCTGATTCATATAGGCAGGCGTCTTAACATAAGGAATGAAAGGTGTTGCTGTAATAGGTTTAAAAGCAGCAGGGTCTGTGAGCGCTCGCTGTAGCTTCAACTTTGCTCGATGTAATCGCGCATCGTAAGCAGCAACCAAAGGCAGAAAAGAATATTTAACTAATGTTGCATGCGTCTCCTGTGTACATCTATCATAAGGACAGCTCCGCCACTTTACTATGTACACCCTATCGCCGTTCTCTGTCTCTTCCCTGCACATCAAAACAAACGCAATTATTTATTTATTTATTTAATTTATTTATTTATTTTATTTTATTTATTTTGTTTATTTATTTTGTTTATTTTGTTTATTTTGTTTTTTCATGCGGAATAAACTGTAAAGAGATTTTAGTCAGGAACGGTGAAAGCAATCGCAACAACACTTTGCTGCTACTGTTGCTCTTGCTGTTGCTGCTGCTGCTGCTGCTGTTGATCACCAGCAGCAGCAGGACAGCAAGAGCAGCAGCAACACAGTACAGCAACCGTAATAACCAGCAGCACGCAAAGCAACAGCAGCAGCAACAATAGCAGCAGCACCAGCACCAGCAAGAGCACCAACAGCAGCAACAAGAGCAGCAGCAGCAGCAGCAACAGCAGCAAAACAAGCACAAGCAGCAGCAGCAGCAGCAGCAGCATTAGGGGTTCGGTTTACCATCTATAGATGATGCGTTCAGCCTGCAGTGCATCTTCATCGAGCTGTTTCTGAAGCTGCTTCTCGATCTGTATTTGTTCTACTTCATCAGGCGACAAGAGCTGCATGATTTCTTTCTCTTTGTCTCTTCTTTTAATAAAGTTAATTAGCTTCTTTATACCTAGAAGAGGCTCTATTGCTGCATACGTCTCCCAGGTGTTGTGTACATGTGCTTTACCTAACCACTTGATTAAATACTCTTCGTATCCTTCGGGGGTTATGCGCCAGTCAAGAACTCTATCAACAACAAGACCTGCAACAGCTCCTGCTTCTTCACCTCCTGCGCCTCTTGCTGCTCCGTATCTATTGCTGCTGCTGCTGCTGCTGCTGCTGCTGCTGCTACTTTCGCTGTCTTCGTTCTCTTCAAACATATCTTCTTCTTCATTACAGGCAAGATTTACATAATCTACTCGGCTGCTCCGAGAACGAAGGCTGAAACTGCTGCTTCGCTCACCTCCTCCTGCTGCTGCTGAACTGCTGCTGCTGCTGCTGCTGCTGCTACGAGGTAAATGAGAAGCATAATATGCTTCACGAGACTGAGCACGTCCTCGACGCCGTCTGCTGCTGCTGCTGCTGCTGCTGCTGCTAGCACCACCGCCCCCAGGAACTCCCCAACTCAAACCCCCATCAAGTGCTGCTGCTGCTGCTGCTGCTGCTGCTGCGCCCCCAGCTGCTCCTCCTGCTGCTGCTGCACCGCGCTTTCCTGCAGATGGATCCCACGCTTCGTCTGCGTCTGGTTCTGCCTTTGCTCCTGCTGCTGCTGCTGCTGCTGCTGCTGCAGGCCCAGGGGCGGCCCCAGGTACAGCAGTAGCGGCAGCAGCTGCTGCTGCTGCTACTGCTGATGCAGCTGCTTCAGCAAACACATTGTGCTGCTGCGGCTGCTGCTGCCGCTGGGCCTGAATCAGCTGCTGCTGCTGCCGCTGCAACATCTGCTGCTGCTGCTGCAGCTGCTGAAGGTACTGCTGCTGCTGCTGCTGCTGCAGGAAGGGGCTGTGTTGCTGCTGGGCTGCCAGCAACTGGTGCTGCTGCTGCAGTTGGCGCTGCAGCAGCAACTGCTGCAGCTGCTGCTGCTGTAGCTGCTGACGGATTTGCTGCTGCCGCATAAACTGCTGCTGTATAAGCTGCTGCTGCTGCGGATTCCCGCTTGCAGCGGCAAGGTGCTGTTGCAGCAGTTGCTGCTGCTGCAGTTGCTGCTGATGAAGCTGCTGCTGCAACTGAAGCTGCTGCTGCAGCTGGTGCTGCAGCAGCTGCGAAGGAACTGAAGCGTCAGACTGGCACTGCTGCTGCAGCTGCAGCTGCTGCTGCTGCAGTTGCTGCTGTCTCAGCTGTTGCAGGTGCTGCTGCTGCAGTTGTTGCTGCTGCAAGTGCTGAAGCTGCAGATGCTGCATGGGCTGCTGCTGCAGCACTGGCTGCATCTGCTGCTGCTGCAGTTGCTGCAGCTGTTGCTGCTGAAAGTGCTGCTGCTGTAGCTGCTGCTGCTGCCGCAACAGCTGTTGTTGCATGTCCGGCTGCTGCAACTGCTGCTGCAGCTGCTGTTGCTGCAGTTGCTGCTTCAGTTGTTGCTGTTGCAGCTGCTGCTGTTGCAATTGCTGTTGCTGCAGCTGCTGTTGCTGCAGTTGCTGCTGCAACTGCTGCTGCTGAAGCTGCTGCTGCTGCAACGCTTGGGGCGCCAGCTGCTGCAGCTGAGCGTGTTGCTGCAGCTGCTGCTGCTGTAGCTGCTGCTGCTGTCGGAGCTGCTGTTCCTGAAGCTGCTGCTGCTGCAGCTGCTGCTGCTGCAGGCAACCTTCGTACACGAAACTCAACGCCGGATTGACTTGCTGCTGCTGCAGCTGCTGTTGCTGCAGCTGCTGCTGCTGCAGCTGCTGCTGCTGCGGCACTTGCTGCTGCAGCTGCGCAGCCGCGATCCCAGACCCTCCGGGGGCATTGCCTTCTGCAGCTAGCGACGGTACTGCTGCTGTTGCTGCAGCTGCTGCTGCAACACCCGCAGCAGCATCTGCTGCTGCAGGTGCTGCTGCTGCTGCTGCTGCTGCTGCTGCTGCTGCTGCTCCATCCGTTGATGCGAAGCCAAAGAGCTGCAGCCCAGACTCATCTTCGGCTGAGGCCGGGCTGCACTCTTCGCCTTCCCCTTCGACCTGGCCCATCCTGCAGCAGCAACAGCAGCAGCAGCAACAGCAGCAACAGCAGCAATGAGCAGCAGCAGCAGCAGCGATAAGCAATAGATGACTCAGTCAACAGACCACCTGGAGCAGCAGCAACAGATGCGGTAAACACAGCATCCAAGGTGAGGAGACAGCAGCAACAGCAACCGCAGTACTAGGAGAAATAGCAGCAGCAGCAGCAGCACGAGCAGCAGCAACAACACACCTAGAGAATCTTGTTGCTGCTGCAGCCGCCGCTGCTGCTGCACTCGTCGCAAGACCCGGAGCAGCAGAGTCGGCAGCGAGCCATGTGTTGCTTCTGGTGCCGCTGCTGCTGATGCAGCTGCTTCTACTGCGCTGCTGCAACCCCTGTTGTTGCTGCTGCTGCTGCTGCTGCTGCTGCTGGTCTCTCGGAGGCAATAGATTGAGAAGCAGCAGCAGCAGCAGCAGCTGAGGCGGCGGGGACGGAGCGCTTTACCTAGAAAGGCAGCAATATATCGCCCACCGCCATGTCTACAGCTGCTGCTGGTGCTGCTGCTGTTGTTGTTGCTGCTGCTGCAGTTGCTGCTGCTGGTGTTGCTGCTGCTGCTGTCGGTGCTGCTACTGCTGCATGCGAGTATGAAGATCCATCTGATGCAGAATGTAAACAACTTGCTGCAGCTGCATGCACGTGTTGAATGAATTGAGGGGATGAGGCGCGAAGGCAAGCTTTGTGCTGCAGTTGCTGCTGCTGCTGCTGCAGTTGCTGCTGCTGCTGCTGCTGTGCTCTCTTGCTGCAGCAAGAGCGGAATATATGAAGCTGAAAAGATAATGGGTCTGTTACGGTAGAGATGTGAAGAAGACAGAGAGGGCAGCAAATGCGTTTCATCCAGTGCTGCTGGAGTTGCTGCTGCTGCTGCTGCTGCTGCTGCTGCTGTACTGCAACAAGCAGCAGCAGCAAGCCCTGTCTCCCTCAGATTACGACGCCCTATTGCTGCAGCAACGCTGC